AAAAGTGGGGAAATTGCAAAATAGAACTTCTAGCAACCAAAGTGACCGATTCAAGCCTACTTCTACTGGTTTTTTGAAAGGTTAGTAAATTCAATTGTTTATGCTTAGGGTTTAGTATTTATTGCGAGTAATGTATTATGCTTCTTTTTTTTTTCATTCTCATGTGTTTTTTTTTTTTTTTTTTAAGTTTGGCTTTACATTTATGATGATATGCTTTTTTTTTAGTTTTCTATTTATTTATTTTATTTTATTTGACCTACTTTTTAGTTGGCTTTACATTGTGTTATGTTATGATTCATGAGTAGTTTTTTTTTTTTGGCTGTTTTTTGTGTTTATAAAATATTTATGGCTATGTTTGACTATATGTATGGCTACTCTATTTATAGCTATGTCTAAAATTTATAATGCAAAATCAGAGATTTATAAACCTATAAAAAGTCATAAATTTGTAAAAACCCTAACCCCCCCCCTTCCCCCACCTTCTGTTTTACATACTTGGCAGCCCCCCAATCTTTTTGAACAATGGATCCAATGGTCAACCAGGTCGCATAAATTTGTTGCTTCCCATGAGAAACTTGAAATAGATCTATTGAGTTTTATTTTACAGGGACTGATTGATGCATATCAAATAACTTTCAGATATGTTACAATTGAAACTCACAGCCACGATTGCATAATCGACTGCCCAATGCACTGTGTAGTGCTTTAGATGTTTACAAAACGTGTTTAGAGAGAAATCTGAAGGTGTATCCAAATTTTAGCAACACTATAATTTGTTTTTTTACCTTGAAAAGTAACAATGTGACAGCAAACATTAAGGATGGAAGACTCTAGAATTTGATGGCAAAAACTATCCGGAATGGGCTAGAAATGCAATATTGTTCCGTGTAGGTACAAAGAAGTTGGGTTATATTGAAGGTCTTATGATGAAACCAGATGTAAAGGAGTCATCTTATGCTCATTGATAAGCTAATGCGTTGATTAACATGAAGTAGATTTTACGCTCTATGCAACCAAATGCACATTTATGAAATGTAATACTTCAAAGGAGATATGGGATGCAGTGGCTGAAACCTACTCGCAAAAGAAGAATAGAGCAAAAATCTATGAGTTGGAGTATTTAGGAATTTCAAACAAATTGATATATAGGTTGGTGACTATTATGCTGCTTTATGGGGTTTTTGGGATGATTTGAATCGCTAACAGCCCATAAATTGCTCTCAATGTGCCAAATAGCATAGAGAAAGAGTGGAATACAAGAAAAATATTAATCTTCTAAGGGGTCTTAACCCCAAACATGAACATACCGAATATTTTCGGTGGCAAAACTTTAGCATAACTTAACATGAAGAAACGCGCCAAAAAATTATGGATGTCCTAGTTTCCAATTCCTCTATTAATCATGGTGATGGCCGTAGTGGTGGTTGAGGTGGGGGATGTAATGGTGGCTGCAGTCGTCTCACACTTGATGAAAAGTATAAGCTGAAATGTACCCATTGTGGAATTCCCGACACACTAAGGAAACATGATGGGATCTCATTCGACACCTTAAGCGCAATACAACTCAAGCATATACAGCTGTGACTAATGAGGAGACTAGGCATATTGGGTCTCGACAATAAGATGCTAATGGTCATATACATAAGACTATACTTCTTTATCTGATGCTGAATTGGTGATCATTTCCAAGAGAAAGCTTCTTGATCTTAAGCAGCATACATTCACACATGATGAGCCCTCTTCTTCCTCTAAGTCAGATCTCGCCCCATCAGGTATATCTACATCTGCACAACATGTTTCCCTGACTCAAGCTCCTTAGATTATTGATTCAAGAACCATTGAACATATGACTAATATGTCCAATCTCTTTTTTACTCATGCTACATGTTCATATCAAGAGTCTGTCAAGATTGTTGATGGATCCCTTGTATCCAGTAAAGGAAACAAAATTTTCAATTTAAATCCTCCATGCATTTGTTATCCACTTTACATGTTCACAAGTAGTCCAATAATTTTCTATATGTTAGCAATTGTACCAAAAACTTGTAACTTTTCCCGTATTATTGTGTCTTTCAGGATTTGGTGTTAGGAAAGACATCTGGGTATGATCATGAGGATGGAGGGTTGTACCTTCTAAAGATATACCAAAAACAGGCTCCTATAGAACTCAAACCACTGCCTTGTCCGTAATTGCTAATAAAAAAGAAGGATGCATTTGTGGCACACTCATCTTGGTCATGTGCATTTTCTATTTTGCATTCTTTGCTTCCTGAGAGGTTTGAGACTTATCTGAGCACATCACCTCTAATATGGGCAGTAAATTTTAAAACTTTAAAAATTATAAAAAAGGGAAAATATCTCCATACTCCCAATTTTTAGGTTTCATTTCACAATAGACCTAAGGTTTTAAACGATATCTTGGGGCATAAAAATTGTAGATTTTATTTCTTCTAACTCCCTGAGCTAATTTAAACCTATGTTTTTAGACCAAACAAATCTAAAAAGACACGCCTTTTCTAAAAGCCATCCTCTCAAACTTCTAGAGAATGAGGTATTTGGAGAAATACAGGAAAGAGAGAGTGAGAGACGCATGAAGAGAGAGAAAGAGAAATTTGGGGTATATAAGTGAAGAGAGACAAAGGATTGGGGTTAGCAAGAGCATGTTTTTCTCACATTTGTTTAGGTTAAAAACTAGGTTTAAAGATGCCAGGGGTTAGAAGATATCTTTTGAAACCTTGGGTTTATCAAGAAATGAAACTTAAAAATAGGGGATATGGAGATATTTTCCCTATATTATTGTTTAAAAAAACAGTCCTCCCGGCGCCTAAGCGCCCGCCTAGCCGTTTTTTAACAAAAAACTACATGCCCCATGAAAAGGCGCCCCGAACGGGCGTTTTTACTTGAGTGGGCGCCTAGTGGAGTCAGGCGAAAAGTGCTTTTTAAATTCTCCCAAAAGGGCAGAATGGGTCATTTTGACCCCCAAGTTTGTATAAAAAACAGTTATGGGGTTTATTTTTGAACCCCCAAAATAAAACGTATGTTGCGAAACGGAATAAATTACAAAATTTGACACAAATATATGCATATATGTACATTAGGATAGCAAATATCTTTAAAAATGCTATGATTTTCCACTACAGGGCGCCCGAGGATCTAGGCACCCGCCTAGGAGCCCGCCCGGGCACTGGGCACCAGGCAGGCTGCCTAGGGGTCACCTAGAGTTTTTGATACCTTGCCCTATAAAAAATATAAGAATGCATAATAACATGAATATGTGACTTGTATGATAGTAGGCATTTTATAATTTAGTACGTACCTCTATACATCAAAAAAAAATATGTACATATATAGTACTTATCTTTAATATATTAATTGACTCAGTATTGATAGCCTCAGCATCATCATTTTAGCCTTTTCCCAATTAATTGGGGTCGGCTACTCGATATTTATAGCCTAATAAAGTAAAATTGCTCTCTCCATTCTCTAATAGACTAATGCAACTATCATGGAAAAGAGTATGTTGACCTTAATGTTGGAGATTCGTTGCATATGGAGGGGCACCTCCAAAACCCGCATATGCATGGGTGTGCGGTGCGCCTCAAGGTGCATCCAAATTGATGCCGCCATGTAATGCGTCACACAACTGCATTTGATAACATTGATATTTATGCCAGTTGGCTTGGGCACTTAACTAGGCCAAATTACCAAAATTCCCCTACTTGTTCAAGGTTGTGAATCTAGAAACAAGGGAAATTTGTGCTTTTTTAGATAATTTTTTTAAGAAGTACCTAAGTGAAAGGAATCTTATAAATACTCTAATGTTAATTTGGTTGATTTGACCACCTTAATGATTCTTTCAAAGGGTCCATTCTATTTTAGTGATATTTTCCCAAGACAACAAGAATTAATAGAATCACTCAAACAAGGGATAGAATTCGAAATAAATACATTTGGGAGAATTTCGTGGCACCAATAGGCGATAAGATGAGAGAAAATAGACTTAGGTGGGCCGGCTATGTGTAGCGCAGATCCCGTATTGTACATGTAAGGAGGTGCGAATTAGTTCAAGTGGAAGGCTCAGAAAAGAAAAAAGGTAGGTCCAAAAGGGCATGGTTGGAAGTACTGAGAAAAGATTTGGGGACTTATGACCTCACTGAAGGTATGACCCTTAATAGAACATAATGGTGGATCAGGATTCGTGCAGCCGATCTCAATTAGTTGGGAAAAAGCTCTGATGATGATGATGATTCGAACATAAGCAATGATCAATAGTAAATTTGACCCATCAATGTAGACCCCTCAATTCAAACTTTCCATGAAGTCTTCATGACAAATCAGTCTGGTCATCGAGTGATATCCAGCACAAGTTAAGCAGCCCAGATTTCACTTCAAAGGCATCATGAGTGCAAGGAAAACTGGAACAACAAGACTAGTTCTTCATCCAGCTAAGAAAAACATAGTTACTGAACCTTATGATAAGAAAAGGCAGTGCAAGCACACACAAGTACAGTGCACAAACATGTACTCATGCTTGTTTGTATGCATGCGTCAGGAATTCTTATTGCCATTTTTGTATAATAAGTTTTCAAGTGAATCACTTAATTGAATGCAGATATGTTACTTAATATGTGTGTGAAGGAGGTGTCGAATCAATTTCGCCATTTTTTTATGTTTGCATGTGCAGCAGTAAAAGCATATATGTAGACATATCTATTTGTGATACTATATAATGCTGCATAAACAAATTAGGAGTGACCAATTTCAAGTTATAGCAAGTATTAAATTGGATACAAACAGTTTAAGAGGGTATTCTCATAATCTTACACAATCAATCAAGTATATTGACAACAAAATCCTAACAAACATTATGAACACAGCCTACGAAGCATAGAATGTGTAAATGAAAAGCTCGTTACAGAATGGCCAATAACATGGAAAATCAGTAAACAAAGAACTCAGACGTTCAATTATAATTCTGAATGCAACAAACACTGCCATACTTCTCCTTGGAAGCAAGGATGTCCACAATGCTGCCCGGAAGCATTCCTTTTAGATTTCCAGATTCCTGATACAATTCAGTTTCAGTAAGTTCCTCAGCTTCCATTTCCTCTAATGAACGACTTTTCTTACGTGATCGCCGCTTGTGTTTTTCTTTTGTGACTGACTCCTGATGCATTTCAGTTTCAGTAATTTCTTCAAAAAAAATTTCCTCTGATGATGCAGATATTTTCTTTTGTGACCGCCTCCTTCGTCGTTCTTTTGCTTCTCGAGCAACTCTGCAGAGCCAAAACAAAGATTTTAGAATTCTCAATGGAATTAATGGGTGAAAGGGTTGTATTTGGCCAACAGAATATTCGACAACCCAAGTTTTGCAAAACAAAACATATTAATCTTAACCTCTCCCCCTTAAGGGTATTCAATTTTTAGCAGTAAGATGGTGATTCTTATTCAAACCAACGACAAGTGGTAACATACAAATTCAAACTCTAAAACATCGGAAGATCCTCAATATGATAAGAGGGTACTATATCCATAATGAATATGGAGCACTCCGAAAATATAAAATCTGGTTACTGAGAGCATGAATATAGAAAACCAAGAGCAACACTCACATCCATCAGTCTTGAAGATAACATAACGGTCAACAACATATTCCACTATTGTGCACCCCATGTTGTGACAAATCAAGTAAAAATTGAGAGGGCACAAAAGAGATCTTAATGTGTATGTCAACACGAACATATGCATGTTCTATGTATATGGGAAAGTATACCATCTAGTATACACTGTTATGTATCCTGAAGCGTTGCTAATAATAGACAGGCTAAGTAGGTGATGCAGGGCACTTGAAGAAATATAGAAAATCAGCAAGAAGCACCTTGACATAAGCAATTTTGGAGAAACCCTAAGGCTTTCTCCCACCTAAGGCTCAAGCCTTAGGCTTTTTTTTCAAGACAAAAGTCTTTTCTTTTCTTAAAAAGGAATACATGAGTGCCACTCCAGCCTATCCACGCCTATATTCATCTTGGAAAATTATCATTCTGGGCAATATTTGTCTATATAATTAAGTTTTGACTAAAAGGTCCTAACTTAAGTATAACTTGAAACTAACTCCCTGACTTTAATTAAATATCTAAAAAGTCCCTAACTGGTCCAATAATGAAATAAATAAATAAAAATGTCAAAAACTAAAAAAAAATTCAAACTATTTCTTGCTCTTCTTGTTTTTTTAGGAAGCTCTCTTAAGGTGTTCATCATCCAAATATGAGCGAAAATTAGGAGGAATCTATTGCTACCAAAGAAGATACTTGTGGCTACTTGTTGTGCTCTGATCACCATCGTCATTACACTGTAATTTCATACGTTGCTACAGTACCTTCCGTGTAGATCGTGGACTCTGATACCACTTGATGCACGGCCTACGAGAAGGTTTGCAATCTTATCATTAATGGGGGTAGCTGTAAACATATTGTTTCTCAAGAGATGGCAGACAAGCTGAAGTTGAAGACAAAGAGCGCCATCCAAAACCATACACGATAGCTGAGTTCAAAAAGGGAAATGAGGTAACAGTTTCTAAGCACTGTCTAGTTTCCTTTTCTATTGGAAAACATTATAAAGAAGAGGTGTGGGACGATGTTGTGCCTATGGATGTGTCATTTATTATTGGGTAGACCATGACAACATGATAGGCGTACCATACATGATAGATTTAAAAACACTGATTCCTTTGTTAAAGATAGGATAAAAGTGGATTTAGATCCATCTAATAATGAAAGTGCATCCAAATCAGATGAAGGGTGTGCTAGCTTTCTTTCTTTGGTAGAGTTTATGAAAGGATTGAAGGAGTTTAGGATGTTGTTTGCAGTAGTCCAATTGGAGGGGCAGCTTATTAGTTGGGTTCCACCAGGGTTAGAGTACTTAATGAGGGACTATAGTGATGTCATTATGGATGAGCTACCAGAGGGGTTAACCCATGAGGGACATCCAACATCACATAGATTATTCTTGGGTCTAGCCTACCGAACAAGGCTACATATAGAATGAGTCCAAAGGAGCATGATGAGTTGCAGAGACAGGTCACAAAAGGATGGGACTTGGCAGATGTGTGTGGATAGTAGGGCCATTAACAAGATCACAATCAAGTACCGCTTCCCAATTCCATGCCTAAATGATATGTTAGATATGTTGGTTGGTGCTATTGTGTTTTGAAGATAGATTTGAGGAGTGGGTACCATCAGATCCATATTCGACTTGAAGAGGAGTGAAAGACTGCATTCGAAACACGAGGGGGCCTTTTGGCCTTTCCAATACGCCCAGTACTTCTATGAGGGTGATGAATCAAGTGTTCAAGCCTTTTATTGAGAAATTCATGGTGGTATACTTGATGGTATTCTAGTGTACAACATTGGTGAGCAGGCGCATATGGAGCACTTACAATTGGTGTTTGACTTGCTACAGGGACAACAATTATATTTGAATCTTAAAAAATGTGAATTCACGACAGATTGCCTCATCTGTCATGGTTATGTTGTTTCAGCTGAGGGAATTAAGGTTGACCAAAAGAAGAGAGCAGTTATCAAGGATTGGCCTACTCCTACTATAGTCCATGATGTTCGCAATTTTCATGAGTTGGCTACTTTCCATAGGAGGTTTATCAGAGGCTTTAGTTCGATCATAGGAGGGGGGATTTGTACGAGGTGAAGCAGAAGATGATTGCGGCACCAATGTTAGCTCTTCCGAAGTATGATAAAATCTTCAAGTTGGATTGTGATGCTTCAAATGTTGGAATTGGTGCAGTATTGAGCCAAGAAGGTCGCCTTATTGCCTTCTTCAGTGAGAAGTTCAATGATACCTGCCGACAGTATTCTACTTATGATGTAGAGTTTTATGCTATTATTCAAGCCTTAAGGCATTGACGACATTACCTGATTCGGAGAATTTATTTTGTTCTCATATCTTGAGGCATTGAAGTATATTAATGGGCAACATAAACCAAATCAGTGACATGCTCGATGGGCTTATTTGTAGGAGTTCACTTTTGTTATTCGGCATAAGGCAGACAATTAGAATAGAGTGGCAATGTTTTGAGTAGAAGGTCGACTGTATTAACTACCATGACGACTGTTGTTACTGGGTTCGAGTTTATGAAGGATCATTATACAGATGATGACTTTAGGGAGATATGGGACCAGTGTTGAAGTGGGTTGGGGATTTTCTCATTCAAGATGGATTTCTCTTCAAAGCAAACCATCTTTGTATTCCTGTAGGTTCTTGTAGAGAAACCCAATAGCAGAGCTTCATGAGGGAGGTCTTGGTGGATATTTTGGTCCAGACAAAACCATAGTATTGGAGTCTAAGTACTACTGGCCAAAACTGAATAGAGATATTGTGCGGTTTGAGGTGTCGTACGTGTCAACTGGCTAAGGTGCAACGACAAAATACCAGGCTTTATTATCCATTTCCTATTTCTAACGCACCTTGGGAGGATGTTAACATGGATTTTGTGCTGGGACTTCCATGGACTCAAAGATGTATCGATTTTGTATTCGTGGAGTCTGTTGTAGGTGTTATATGGGAAAAAACCCAACTCACTCGCTTTACTTTGGTTCCTGTCTCGGCCAATGGGGAGGGCCATGTGTGCTAGTCTGGAAGCCAATACATCCAAATGCAAGGAAGCAGACAAGCATCCCCGTTTCAAGGAGTTTAATGTGGGAGACCCGGTAATGGTGTATCTCAAGACGGAATAAAATCCAGTGGAAAAGTACAGCAAACAAAATGATCGCAAGGCAGGACCATTCAAGATTTTGAAGAAGAGGGGCAGCATTGCTTACAAGGCCGTTTTGCCGTCAAATATGGAGACTTCAGACATCTTCAACATTGTTGATCTATCAGAGTATCATGGTTTGGAGGTGTATGAAGATGAAGATGTGAACTCAAGGGCGAGTTCACCTCAACCAGGGGAGAATGATAATGGTGATCAGAGTACAAGTAGCCACAAGTATCTTCATTGGAAAGGACAGATTCCTCCTAATTTTCACTCATATTTTAAGGATAAAAACCCTAAGAGGACTTCCAAGAAAAACAAGAAGAGCAAGAAATAGTTTGAATGTTTTTTTTTTAGTTTTTGAGGCATATTCAGATGATTTTTTTATTTATTTCGTCATTGGACCAGTTAGGGTATTTTTAGATATTTTAATTAAAGTCAGGGAGTTTAGTTTCAAGTTATACTTAAATTAGAACCTTTTGATCAAATATTAATTTTATGGACAAATATTGTCCAAAAAAATAAATTTTCAATATAAATATGGGTGTGGATGAGCTGGAAATGCATTCACGTATTCCTCTTTAAGAAAAGAAAAATACTTTGTTTGGAAAAAGAAGCCTTAGGATTCCTCCAAAATTGTTTGTGTCAAGGTGCTTTCTTGCTGATTTTCTATGTTTCTTCAAGCTCCCTGCATCAGTAAGCCAATTAAGGAGGAGTTAAAGAAACAGTTATTACAAATGTTTGAAGAAGAAGCAGATAATATGACACTCTCTTCTCAAAATGAAGACGAAGCTGAAATGGACGATGAAGGATTTTTACAAAGGCCCGACCTTGGAGAATTTTCACAAAAACCCAAATAAAGTTTAAAGACCTGGTGAAAAGCCCTATAAAATCCAAAAATACCTCTCTTCCACTTGGAAAAAAAAAAAAAGATTCCCTATGTTGGCCATTTAAGATGCCGTACCACCACCTGGCGATTCCCTCTCACAGATGCCGTACCTCCACCGACACCACAGTGCCTCCACCGACACCACAGTGCCTCCATCCGTACCTCCAGCTGGCCACAATAAATCACCACCGAGATATTATTGAAGATGCAGACTTATACAAAATATTTAATAATCCTTTGAGTTCCGGACTCTATAAAAGGAGGAAGAAGTCCTCAGTGAAGGCAGATCAAAAATCAGCCTTGAGTGAAGCCAGCTATCTGCTTCCTCCACTTCCAACCCTTATCTTCCCTCTTCATCTTTTCTCTTTGTAAAAAACTCTTACTTTTTACCTATCTTTCCTGTAAAGCTACCGGAAGTTGTACTCTTCAACTCTGCAGATACTTCGGGTAACTGTTTCTGTAACCTATTTTGTACTTTTATGCTTCTGTATCACATAGATGTGCGACTGTAATTTCAGTTCTTTGCCTAGTTACTGCCCTGACGAATGGAAACTATTTCATAGTTTCTGTATCTGCTCTCAGTAAGTCTTGTAAATTTCTAATCTTGTTATGAATAAATGATTAGTTATTGTGTGCTACGCAATTTTGATTAAGTTTGATTAGTATTGTATGCTATGCAATTGAAATTTATTTTTAGCATTAAAGTTCAAAGTATTACACATACCAGTTGGATAATTCTAGACGTATCTCCCTTCTCTATATTTGTGATAATACTTGTTTTATTATATTTAGGAATTGTTAAATTATTGAATTGAAAATATATTTAATATTCAAAAATATAGTTTATATTCAATTCTGCAACTACTTAAAGAATTAAAATTGGATTAAAATCGGTCTTGGTTTATACTGGTATATATATATATATGTCAGCATTCCAAATAACGTTGGGCGGCGCCTATGTGGCCACGGGAGTCCAGGGCGCCCAGAACCTAAGCAGCCCAATGAAATAACCCCTAAAATCTAGGGAAATCACAAAAATCTAATTTTTTGAGGTTTTTCTCTTTCTAAAATGGGCTCTAATGGGGTTTAGGTTTGAAATAAACCTAAAACCCACCATTTTTCCCTCTTATTTTTCTAAAAGAAATCAAAAATACCCCTCAACAAGGGGCATTTCTACCCCTGAGCGGCAGCCTAGGCGGGTGCCCAAGTGCTTAAGCGAGGCGCCCAGGCCTTCTGGACCGCCTAGGCCCTGGGCAGGCGGTCCGCCTTTTGGAAAAATGATATATATCATCATCCAAGCTTTATTCCAATTATTTGGGGTTGATTACATGAATGTTGTTCCTTCATTCATACCCTCAGTAAGACCAAAAGTCACCAAATCGTTTCTCACGACTTCTGTCCAGATCTTTTTGGGCCTTCCCCTTGCCTCTTTAGAGCCTTCCACTTGAAACAAATTACACCTCCTAACCGGTAATGTATTATGTCTCCGTTGCACGTGACCAACCCACCTAAGTCTACTTTTCCTCATCTTATTTCTTATTGAAGCCATACCTGAGTTCCCTCGTACATAATCATTTTGACTTCTATCCTTTCTTGTCCTGCTACTCATCCATCTCAAAATCCTCATCTCAGCAACGCTCATCCTATGGTTATGTTGTTTCTTGACCACCGAAAACTCCATCCCATAAAGCATGGCTGGTCGTTCAGTCATCCTATAGAACTTTCCCTTTAATCTCAATAGTATGCAGCGATCACATAAAACTTCTCATGCACATCCCCACTTCTCCCACCTAGCTCTAATTCTATGTGTGACATCTTCATCAATCTCTCCATTCTCCTAGATTATTGACCTTAGATATCAGAAACAATCTCTTTTAGATATTTCTTGACTATCAATCTGAACTACGTCCTCGTTTCTACTTCTATTATTACAAAGCTTGCATTCCATATATTCTATCGTAGTCCAGCTAATTTTAAAACCTTTAGATTCTAAAGTATCCCTTTAACGTTCTAACTTTGCATTGACGTCGCCTTTAGTCCCATCGATCAAAACTAAGTCATCCACGAACAGCATCCATCATAGTACCTCATGTTGTAGGTGCCTAATTAACTTGCCCACAAACAAAACAAAGACATATGGGCTCAGTGCTAACCCGTGGATGTAGGCCCGTTGTCACTAAGAACTCAATTCTCTCCACTAGTTGCCCGCACACTAGTTAGAGCTCACTCATACATCTCTCTCACTACGTCAATATAGCCTTTGGTGACTCCTTTCTTTTCCAATACCCACCAAATTAAATCTCTAGGTATATATATATAGCATGAACAAAGCCAAGTTAGTAAAATGCTATAAAATGGAGATTGAATTGGTTTCTTCAACTACATAGGTTGTAATTAAATTGCTCCCAATTGAAACTTGACCTCAGAGAAGAATCTTCAATCTAAAAGTAGTCTATGAATTTATAGTTGTTACAGATGACGGGCACTACGTTTGTGAAACTATAGTGAACTTATCTTATATTCATAATTTACTGTACAATTTGGATGCTTGTGCAGTTTACCAACAAGGTGCACTTCTACCAACAGACCCTTACGAGGTGTTTGGTGTTTCAGTAGTAGCTGAAGAGTTCAAGAGGTTATCCATGAGGGATTTGTTTTTAAAAAGTCATTTGTCTTGGATAAGTCCCCTTTGTGCAGCATATACCCTCATGCACAAACAGGCATTAAGTATTTATCTGAATTTGTACATCTTACATCACTGGATGTGTACAAACTTGTTAGCAAGAAAAATATAAAGGAAAATTTTTATATAAGGTTGCAACCATGATTGCGGATGATATTATGTAAGGTACAATTATTAACATATAACTTGAAAGTGTTCCATAAACAAAGCCATTTTCCCCCACTCAACCCAATAGTGAGTTCTTTGAGCATGTCCTGGAATAAGTTTAGTTAGGTTGCTTTTCACAATTGCAAAAAAAAAAAATTTGTCAAAGCCAGGAAACAGGAAATATGACCACGTCAATTACCATTCCCAAAATACATCACCCTCCATAAAAGAGAACAAGAAATATAAAATATCAACTATTTTTCCCAGCTACACATCTATTTCATATGCAATAAACAAGAAAGTGAAACAGCACTTTTTTTTTTTAAGTGAGCAGCAATAGTAAAAATTTAATATGTATTCTCATCCAATTAAGTTTAAGAAGCTACCTCATCTTATTATCCTTTTGAACCTTTCTGATTTCTTCCTCTTGTTCCATGCCCTATAAAGCAAACACAGAAAGAAATGAGGAAAAGCATCTGAAAGTGGATAACATGTCCACAAATCATCTTAAGATCATGAAAGTGTTAAAAAGTTGCATTTAAAAGAACGTGGAAGTGCTTAATGTCACGACACATACAACTACTGGCAAAGAAATGGAAACAAGAACAAATCAAATCCTCCTGAACAGAGATTATCTCATGAGTATATAACTAGGCTTGTCAAACTTTCACGTCATCATTATGAAACCCAATCGTGATGGTCACCATTAGTCTCAAATGGAATGTAGTACTTGGATGCCTAAAAACTAGTGTTTTGAAGTTTTTCTCTCTCTAAAATAGGCTCTAATGGGGTTTAGGTTTCAAATGAACCTAAAACCCACCCTTATCCATTTTTCTTATTAAAACAAAACCCAAAAATGCCCCTCAACGAGGGTATATCCGCCCCTTGGCTGGCGGAGCCGCCCAGGGCTGGGCATTAGCCACCCGCCTGGAAGGGTTCCCTAATGCCTAAGCGACCACCCAAGGGTAGGTTGCCTAGGCCTGGGCGAGGCGTCCAAGCCCTTTGGACTGCCTAGGTGTTGGGCGGTCCGCCTTTTAGAACACTGTTTAGTACAACAAACTTTTTAGGCTTCCCACAAATATCCTTTTCTACCTTGGTGGGCATTCCCCCTACAAGTTTTTCAATCTAGCATCTAAATCACTGATTTTGTATGTTTACCATAATCTATACGTAGCTACACTTAAAGAATGTTACCACACAAAAAATTCTTGTAAGCATCCATTGCAATTCCAAAATAGTTATGTTTGAGAGTAATTAGACCATATTTTGCACTCATTTCATGAACCATGCAGTTTTAGCCACACCATTAGAACTCACAAAATACGAACTCTAAATGGTAGCCTCATTTTGCCTTCAGATGCAAAATGAACCAACGGCGAACCATTGAAGATACTAGGGATGAAGTGACATTCGTTAAAAAAAAGGGGTAACTCATCGTAGTATATCTCTCCTTATCATGCCCCCCCTCTATGGAAATCCTCCCTAAGGCTTGAAGACTTATGCCCTCAATAAGAAGGTATCATCCTCTAACGCATGTTAGCCACACACAATGTTAAACAAGCATCAAACCCATGAAACCTAAGAAATAGCTCTCAATTTTCTAGTAGATACACTTTGACCAATGCAACATTTCCTCATGACATCCTTTCCTAGTGCTGGGATCTAGTTCATTACAACTACATCAAGAGAAGCAACAAAACTGCCAATCATTCAACTCATGCCACAGATGGTTTGAAGGTAGTAAATGAATGGTTTCTGTAACCATATGGAAGAAGATTTAGAAGAGTGGGCAGCACAGATGGAATGGTAAGGCTATAAATGTATTGCGAGAAATATAAGCATTAAAGATACTTTTAACAGTGACATTAAACCCAAATATGCAACAAATATTCACACTGAGTAACAATTCAGGATCAGCTTGCTTAAATCAATATAAAACGAAATGTATGGCACTATAAAGCTATTGGATCGTCAAACATAGAAATCCTCACTCTTATTCCACAGCACTTTGGGCTAACAATAATTTGTGTGCACGTTGAGATACGCTTTAGAAGTGAAATGTGGCGCACAAGTGCATAGTCAATTACAGAAATCCTCACTCAAGTACAACTCAAGTATTCACATCTCAAGCTATTTTGCAAATCCAATAAAACAACCCCAGAACTCACTATTTGCCTCGCTCAGTAGCGCCAAATAACTACCCAATACCCTCAAACATGAATTCCCCAACTTTTCTAGAGTTTAATATATAGCATGTATAAACGTAATGGAATCGCATCCGATGCCAATCACCCTGTAGAGAACCACCGTTGACTACCATGAAATTTTCAACCCAATAGGCCAAGTATTCATGCAAAATTAGGTAACAATGTGGTCTTCTCAAAAATCACCAGATAACTGATCCATAGCTTCTAGACATCAGAGCAGAAAAGGCAGAGCCAATACACTCCATTCCACACAAGATTAGCACGTAAAAAACAATAACAACCCACATGACCTAGACGAAAAACCAGACCTACAATATTGAAAGCTAGAACTGTCTACAAAGAACAATTCCTCCAAACATGACATCTACCTCAAAACATATATAAATAGAAAAAGGAGAGAGATGGGCAACTATTGTTGTGAGGGAGGAAAGAAAATGATCAAAAGCCATACCAGTCATAACAGGATCAAAACAAGTACGAGAAAATTCAAGAAAATGGAGAGAGAGTGAGAGAGAGATGACTTTTGAGCTCTAAAACCAGTAAAGAGTTGGCGTTGTTGAAAAGGGGTAGGAGGAGAACCTGTGTCATTGTAAACTCCTCTGGAGCATCAGAATCCTCTGAAATTTCCATCGCCACTATTCAATAATAAGATTCTGATCAAATTTCACTGTTAACAATTCTTCGAGTTGATGAGCAGGGCTCCGCACTGTTTGCCTTGCCGTGATTCGAATATGAACTGCTGACCCACTCTCAAGCACAGACAGAAAAAGAGGCATAACAGGGCATCGTTAGTCGAAGACCGGTATTTAGTTTTGCATAAGGTGCCCACCTTATAAGCAGTCTCTAGGTTTAAATCTTGCCAGTCCCTCCGACATTTCATTCTCGAGAAAAAAAAAATTCATTCTAAAAAAAATGTCCCCCCGATATGAAAGTGGCTTGAAAATCTCCTTTACATTCTAGTTATAAAATTAAAAACTATAAATCTTGAAAATAGACCGTTCGTAATAATTTATTTCAAGATATAGTATTTATAGGACTTGAATTTTTTTTATTTTTTTAATTCTTTTTTATATCCTTGCATCTTAAGGTAGTATGATTAATTGAAAGGTTTTTCTACTTAATTTTTGAGGTGCACCTTACTTCTATAGTGGGTGTATACAAATCACATCCATTATGTATACAATATTTTATCAATGATGATCTCCATATCTATCACGGCTCTTCACTAATTACTTACAAGTAAAAAAGCCTAGTGTGATGGTGCATATTATCAATAGTACTTCCTCATACTCTATTTATGATTGTTTAAATCATTATTATTCTTTTTTTGGTTACAACAATTCTTACTCTTAGTAATTGTTATAAAATTAAAAATTATGTGTTCAACAAACTTAATGTGAAGCCCCATGGTGTATGTCCATCTTGGTGATCTATAGCCATTCAAATAAGATTATTTATACATCAAGATCATGATCTTCCTTGGCTGTAATATGATCAAAACAATATTGTATATGACTTTTCATATCCTATTTACTTGATCAATCCATTCTCCATTATGTGTAGCTAAACTACATATGTTTCTAGTTTAATATACTTCAATTTTGGCATAATTTTCATATGATTTTCATGAGAAATTTGTAGTAGAACTTTAAGAGATTTTTCAATAATAATCGGCAAGCATTTTAGCAACCTAATGATTTCTAGATGGTGATATTATAAGCCAAAACTATGCTAAAATTATTTCTCCCACTCTCTTGTTAATTCCCCATAATTTAGCACATAGATTAGTCATTTTGGCCCCCACGCCATCTCTCTCCCCCACAATGATTCTTTTTGTAGTCCCTTCATTAGTATTTGCATGTTATTTGAGCTTCTAAAGTATAGTTGGCTTTATTCACAATTTAATTCCTTAAATCCCAAATCCATTGGAGTTGTTAATCTTGTGTTATTCAAAGTGAGCATCGATATGTTGTATATCTAAGTCCCGTAGTCGTAACCTAAGCAAAATTGAGTATATTCTTGGCTTATCATATTTAATGAGTCTTATGCACACATTTGGTTAAGTTCATATATTTTGCACGTGTGTGGTGATATATTTGCATTTAGTCAATCTCTAAGTTGGGTTTTGATTCGTTCTAGCAATGGGACCAAAGTGAGCGATTTAGTCTTTGTTTTTTAAGTGTACATAATGGTAGTTGCAGCAGCCATTAAAGAGGCATGTTGCTGCAACTTTCTTTATATGTCAATGTAAGTTCATTTGGTCATTGTAATTTCATTTTGTTATTTGAATTTTGATATTTGATATTGTTTTCACTAACTTGTTTGTTAGATCCTATTGTATGATTTCACCATGCGTTTAATTACTGAAAGAAGATGAAAAAAATGATTTAAAGAGAGATTAAATGGACAATTTGGCACCTTCCCCAGTGATTATGCATTGTTAAGTATATATAGAGGGATATCTAGAATGGGAGATAATTTACTTTAAACTGCCTTAGTTTTTCATCAACATACGATGAATTACTTGCCTAAACATAATATTAAAGATATCATCAGAACCTCTTAGGGCTTGAAAGCTAGAGTTCTCAAATTCAAGTTCGGCTTTAAGGCCCTCTTGACTTTAGAACTCCAATCCTTTATCGAGAGACATATCCATTCCACAAACCAGATGGCTCTACTGTGAGGATATTCACAAACTCTGACATGTACCTTTTTTATGATGAGTTCAATTTTAATATTTCATTGTCTTTTTTTTTGGAAATTCACAATTTCACATAGTTATTTTGGCAAAAATAGTCACATGGTATTAATCATTGTTGAGGAGTATTGATTTACATATTGTTTCTTTTGAATTAGTTGCGAGATTTATTAAGTTCCCAGACAAATGTCGCGCAAAGTACGTTTATAGGTGACCTATTTTTGATTGATGGGGTTTATAAGCTATCCAAACCCTAACTTTGACCTTAAAAAATAGTGGATGCATTTGTTTCATTATCCTAGGTCCATTTTTGCTTAATTCCCATAAGAAGTTACCTTGTATACCATTTTGACATCCAGAAACGCCAAGCCCATCATTTAGAGTTCAAATATCATAGCCCCTCCAAAACTCATTTAAATTAAGCTAAATTTATTTTTTAAATTGCAAATGACTTCATAAGCTTTAAAAAGGTTCATGAATCACTCAATTCCAATGCACAGTTTAGAAAATTATAAGCGAAATACTAAACAATTTCTAAAATGACCACATGGTCATGAGTGAAAAATTTACTTATCCAATTCCAAGACATTACTCTATGCATTTCATATTAAAATTCTACATGGATTACGAAACAAAATCCTACGTCCTTTAATTCTGTCTATGCTAAATTTCGAATTCTATAAATAGGGTCATCTTCTACCCATCGAAGCATCGAAAAAGCTATTAAAACCTCTTGTAAATCTAAGGGAAATCTAGAAAAGCATTTGAGATGATCCATAAATAAAGATTTTAAAACTCTCTCCAAATCCTTGAAGCTATGAGGGTAATAAAAAATCCTAGATCTGAAGCCTTTTGTAATAATCAAACATTCAGTCAAGATGGAAAAGACCAATATAAATTCTAAGTTTGATCTCGACTCCAGCTCCAGACAAACTTTTTTCCTCTTTTATTTTTTATGTTTCCTTTCATTAGTTTTAGTTTAGAATATTTATTTTAGTTAGAACTGGTTTTAATTTAATATTTTTATTTTAGTTCAAATTTTATATTTCCCTTGAAGGTTTAGATTTATTCCTTTATAAGTTTTCTTTTCATAAAATATAACAGCTCAATATTTTTGTTAATAGTATTATTTACTAATCAAAATGCTCATTTGATAAACTATTATTTTTCTAAATATAGATATCAGTTAGGCTTAGTAGGTTATCTTTAAGTTGCTTTTTTAGTTTGTTCTCGCTTATGTTGTTATTATATTTTTTAATCTGATTATATTTGGTTTAATTTAATTTTATTCAAAAACAAAATGTTCCATTTCTTAAAAGTTTAGGTGAGATCTAGCCAAGGCTGATGAATATATTGTAAATCTCTATACTGCAAATTATAATCTAATTGGACCCCTAATCTTTTAAACTTTCAATAATAAAATTAGAGAGGATAAATTTCAACAATGAAAACGCATGCAGAAAATAAAGAATTTTCATATAAGAAGCGCTTGATAGACTTGCAACGGTTGGAAGACTTAAGTCAAAGTGAGCTCGTGCAAGCAATAGATTTACTTGCTACTAAAAAGGTACTCATCACATTTATGATCATGAGTAAAACTTTATTTGGATTGGTTGCGGGCTAAATGTCATGGATGTTAGTAGAGATATTTTTTTATTTCTTTTATTTCATTTCATGTGAGGATTCTTAATTTAGTGTCTTGAAAAACTTCCTAATTTGGCTAAGTATGACTTTTGGACAAAAACCTTTTGAGGAATAATGTTTGTTGGTTTTTGAGGTTGAGTTGGTATGGTAAATGATTTATTTGTAATAGATGTTTGTTTGGTACATTTGAGTTAGATATATTTCTTAAAAAATAATTTATGGGGTTTGTTAATTAAATTATTATGTATTTTCTACTGATTTAAAGATGAATATGTGAGTCCCTTTTTAAAAAATGCATATATTCAACTAGTGTTTAAAAATTGGGTGCCTCGATTCAGATCGGGTATCGTCTTGCTTGTTCCTGATGCAAGGAGAAAATAAAACTGAAAAAATAAAAATAAATAAAGAAAATGGTTGAGAGAATATCCCATCTCTCAAGGTGTGTAAAGGAATTCACCCCAAAAATGGTCTTTTCACAAAATCAACTTTACTCAATTCATATCTTTTCACAATATCAACTTTTCTCAATTTAGATCTTTTAATCCTATCAACTTTTCTCAGTTTGCATTCTTTACCTTTACAATAAAGGAACATCTATCTTTAAATAAATTTTGAAAGGAAAAAAAAAAAACCACAAAGATAATTTTCACTCTCTTTCTTCTACGTACTTTACCTTATTTTCTCTCTCCTCCCTATTTTCTCTCTCCCACATACCATCCATAGTTCTTAATTTTTATCCCCATATCTAAATCTTTTATCTTTTTCCCATCTAAATCCATCTCTGTTTAAATCTAACTAAATCCCCTACCATGATTACCTTTTTAAGTTTAGTTCATATCTCATCATCATTTTAGCCTTTTTCCAATTAATTCGGGTCGGCTACATGAATCCTGGTTCTCCATTCTACTCTATTAAAGATCATATCCTCAAAGAGGTCATAAGTTCCCATGTCTTTTTAGACTACTTCCAACTACGTTCTTTTGGGCCCATCCCTTGTCTTTTTCAGTAATTCCACTCGAACTAATTCGCACCTCCTAACAGGTGCTGTACTTGGTTGACACATATATGGCCAGCCCACCTAAATCTATTCTCTCTCATTTTATGACATATTGGTGCCTCGCCTAAATTCTCTCGAATAGATTCATTGCGAATTCTATCCCTTCTTGTATTGCCACTCATTCATCTTAGCATCTTCATCTCTGCTACATTATGAGTATATTATTTTTTGTACGCCTAATATTTCGCTCCATAGAGCACAACTGGTCTCACCGATGTCTTATAGAATTTGCCCTTCAGCCTTATCGGTATGCGGCGATCACGTAAACTTCCAGGTACAGATCTCCGCTTCACCCACCCAACTCTAATTCTGTGTGTAATATTTTCCTTGATCTTCTCTATTTTTCTGGATTATTGATCCAAGATATTAAAAGTACAATATTTTTTGTACTTCTTGACCGTCAATCTTAACTACTTCATTGTCTCTACACCTATTATTGTAAATTTGCACTTCATATACTATATCTTATTCCAAGTAATTTTAAAAACCTTTGGATTCTTGAGCATCCTTCCTAAAT